CTATAACTTTATTATTTGTAAAAAACTAGTGAATGCTATATTGACATTTGGGATGAAGTTTATAATAAAGTTAGGACTCAAAAGAGTTTTCTGAATGTCTTCCAATTTTGGTACCCAAAAGTTAAAGTAGGAAGAAATGTAGAAATTTAAAATAAATACATAAGTAAAATAAGAGGAAAAAATTTTGCAAAAGTGGAGACGCAAAAAATTAAAATTGTGTGAAGCACAATTTAAGTTGTGTCACTCTAAATTTAAATTGTGGGAAAGCAGCATAAATAGCAAGTTACACATTCTGTTTATCTTAGGGCAGATGTGTGTTATACTTTCCTCTTGAATCTTTTAAATAGAAAACCAATGAGATAATTCATGTTTTCTTAGAAATGTTTCTGATGTTGTTGAAATTGCTGTTTAAATAACATGCTGTAAATTCTAGAGAGCCATTCATATATTTTATGGTCTGTGATATTTTTCTTCATTCATTGGCAGAAATTAAAGTATTTTGTTTTTATTATGCTTTATGTCTTATTCGAGCTGCTCTAGTCAAGTGAAATTTATCTTCATTCCTTGTTAGTGTATTCTGATTGAGAATTGAAATTATATTTAAATTTTGTTTTGTGAAGTGATGAGTTCAATGACCATCCTGGATATGATTAATTGATTACAAGAGAATTTTCTACAAATTTTGAAAAAAATATTATTTTATTGATTGTAATAACTCCAGTAATGTAAAAAAATTGCCAAGTTAAAGGATGATTATGTTGTTTACGGACTCAAATGTACATTAGGAAAAGAAGGCGTACAATGACTGCAGTGCATTTATCTTGAAAATTATTTTCAGTCTAAAGCCTTAAATCAGTGGTCAGCAAACATATGAACATTTCAACAATTTCAAAAAAAATTGGGAGCCAAATCTGTTTGTTTAGTAAACTTTTATTACACTAAATAAAACTAAATTTAATACTTAATAAATATTTATTAATGCGAACAATGTGCTTGCATCTCCTTGTAAAGTTTGAGTAAGTCAGGTTTGTATGTTGTTGATTTTAATTTTAGACATGATTCCAAGTTCTCATCAATAAGATGACTTCTCAGTTTACTCTTGATAATGTTCATGCTTGAAAAAGATTGTTCGCATATATATGTAGAACCGAAAAGGGAAAAACAGCAAACGCGAGCTTTTTCAGCTGATTGTAAGAGTAAGGAATATTATTCCAAGCATTGAAAATGATCAGGTCTTCCTTCTCTAGGTCATTCACTTGATCACTAAGATCACATTTTTTCTTCTCCAGTATTTCCAATTCAACACAAAGACTTTCGAATTTAGAGCGCCGTATCTTTTAGTTTTTTAAATCCAGCAATTGTATTTCAAAGCTACCAATGTCAATTTCAAAAGGAGAAAATTTCAACTCGGTTATCGTAGCATTAAGAGGATTTTTGACAAATGCTAAAGTTACTCCTGTTTTTAAATTCCTGAATCCTGCTGAGAAATGCTTCCCTCTTATTTAAAATTATTGTTTTAAAATGGTGTTTATCAATAGAGGAATTATTTTCTTGACGATGCTTTAGCAGGCTCGGAAAGTGAAACAATGTTTCCCTTTCAAAATCCTGTGCAAAAATGGATAATTTGTTTTTGAATGTTATTACTCCTTCTAACATCGAAAAAATTAAGTTTCCTTTCCCTTGTAGTTTACGATTAAGCTGATTTAGATGAGACGTAATGTCTACCATGAAATAAAAGTTTTGGATCCACTGATCGTCTGTTAGTTCTGGATAGTGAATGCTCTTCTCGAGAAATGCTTTAATTTCCAGAAAAAAGACGCAAAATATTTTAAAACATTCCCTCTTGATAACCAATGTACCTTGTTATGAAGCAGAAGATCAGTGTACTCACTCTCCATTTCAAATAAAAATTCTTTGAATTGGCAATGATTAAGAGCTTTAGCTAAAATGGAGTTGATAATGGTAATCACTAATTCCATAACTTTACAAATTTCTTCTGGAAATGTTTGGGCACAAAGTGCTTCTTGGTGAAATACAATGGTAAACAAGTATCTTGTGATTAATTTTTTCTTTCAAAATAGCAACAACCCCTTTTCTTACGCCAGTCATACTTTTGGCTCCATCTGTTGAAATTGACACAATTTTATCGAGGGGAATATGATGTTTATCCATACACTCATTTACAGCATTGGCGATATCTTCTCCACGCGTCTGACCTTTGAGTGGCAATATTCCTTTAAAGTTCTTCTATAGGGCCTGAATGAGACATAAATCTTACAAAAAGTGAAATTTGCACTGTATCATTTATGTCACAAGACTCATCAACTGCTATTGATAAAGCCGAAACCAATTTCAGATCTCCGATATGCTGGGTGGTTATATTCGAACACATTTTAATTGTTCTATCTTTAATGGTTTTGGCAGACAATGGTAACTCTTTAATTCTTTTCAAAATATCTGCTTTGTTCTTAAAATCCCGAAATAGCTCTTCGAATGCATTTATAAAGCAATTTTTTTGTGTATTCACCGTCTGTGTATGGTTTTCCTTTCTTAGCATGTACGGTTTTCCTTTCTTAGCAATCTCTTGGCTACAAATAAAACTTGCCATATTAATATTGTTGGAAGATTGCATCCTGTTATTAAACACAGAAGTTGATGTCTCTTGACTCTTCTAAAGTTCCTCAACTGCTTTCTTCCTTGCATCACCGGTAGGATATTTAGTGCTAAATGATGCATGCTTTCTTGTAAAGTGTGTCTCTAAATTTGACTTCTTGTTATGCATGAATTTCTCCTTTTAAATAAGACATGCCGGAAGTCCATTCAAGTTTTGAATAAACACAACATTCTCGTTCCACTCAACTTTAAATTCACGGTTTTCATCTTTCATTTTTCTTTGCTTTTTTTTTTTTTTTTTTTTTTTTTTGTGGTAGCCATGTTAATTGGGGTGCCTATAAAAATATTCCAAATATATTTTTTTCTAAAGCCACCAGTACAAAATTATTATCATTATTAAATTGATGAAAATAAAAATTTTAAAAAATCTTTTAAAAAAATACAATTTTATTATATGTAACTGCACTAAAAAGGAAAAAATAATTTTTTCCATCATCAGAATAACAAAACTTTTAATATGACCAAAAATGGAAGAAAACTTTTGGACAAAACATTTGGACAAATAGAAGTTATCGAAAAATCGATTACAAATTTTGTACTAAAACCACAAACATACATAGCAGGTGTAATAAAACCATATAAAAATACCTGTAAGATGTGCAGCTAGATTAAAAAATAGAACTTTTTAATAAGACAGGACAATGGCAAGAACAGTAGATAAGACAAAACTGTTCACACTGCAACTGCTGCTCTGTGATGCCAATTTGTACCTTCACTACTTTATAAAAAGCATGCACGCGCATGCCGTAACTTGTACATGGTTTATGCTTACGTTTATGAAAACTAATAAAATTAAACTCGATGTTTGTTACGTATTTTTACAATATAAAATTTTAATTACCTATCTATCTTTTTTACTCAAACCACAAAATTATACAGATTCTCGATTTATAGAAGAATTTTAATTTATCAAAATAAGATGTAATTTTTTTCTTACAAAGTTTTTTTTTTTTTTTTTTAAATGAAAATATTATTGCGTTTTCCATGGATATTTGTACTAGAGCTGCACTTAAGGAGCCAAAGAGCCACATGCGGCTCTGGAGCCGCAATTTGCCAACCACTGCGTTAAATCATCTAAGTTGTTAGAGCATTTCAATAATCTGTAGGACAAAATCATAACATTTTGAAGTCTAAGAAGGCATGATTTAATACCAGTTCAAAAGTTGAAGAAGTTGAAAGTTATTAGAAGCTTCTTATCATGTGGCATGTCTGCCTGCCAAGGAAAAGATTATTCAACAGTTGAGTAATTGATAAAACTATGTGCACTTGAAATTGCAAAAATGAGTTTTGAAGAACAAAAGAAAATTTAGCTGATTCTATTGTCAAATAACGTGATTCAGTTTCATGTTAATGATCCCACTGCTGATATTTTCATGTAGGTAGCAGAAGCTATCAGTATTTATGTAATACACTAAGGAAAAATAAATGCTGGAAGAATTTTACTTTGCTAGCCACTGAGTTGATGACAAACATAATTGATTTTTTTATCATTGCAAAAAAACTCTTCCGCCCCTTTTTTCATCAGATACTGATGAATGTGATGCACTCAACCTGCTTTGCTGAGCAAATAATGCTAGAATTTTTCATATACCAAATCGACATTAATGTGTGTCGATTGACAGTAACATGTGTGAAAGAAATTAAACCTGTGCTACGGAAATATACAATGATTCTTATCTCCCTCAACACGACTATGGCAGTCAATTGCACTGACCCTGGCAGCAAGTTTTATGTATATAATTTTGTAACATTTCACATGTTAGCTTTTGTTTACAGTTGCTTTCATTTGTGTAATGATAGTTTCTTAATGACACTTCATATATGCGGAAATAAATATTAAATTGACAACAGGGGACAAATAATTTTTCTGAAATAATGCTACATTATTTCAAAGACTTTATTAACACTCTACAAACCTTATCAGATTTGTAGGGTTTTTACGGAAGATGAATTGCCACAAGGGTTCATTCATTTCTTTAAAATTACCATGCAATGAGTATGAAAATTTTGCATTAAAGGGTATTGAATATATCTTTGCGAAATATAGTTTATTTTTATCTAATGGAATGTAATGTAGTCAGTAATCAGAAGTCTATACTGAGACTGTAATAAAGCTCTCATCATGGAACAGTGTTCTCAGAATCCAAAAATTAAAAATGTAGAAAGGGTTTAAAATTCACATTTTTATCTTTTATCGTTTATTTATATGGAACAAAATGTGTGAATTAAAATCCCATCTTCATTTTTCATTATTAATTTCAGCAATCATATATATTTTATAATTTAATGGATTTTATTTTACTCTGTTTAAATTTCTTATTGTTCAGGTTGGTCTCTTGGAGAACATCAGGAATGGTCTAAGTACAGCAACTTTGAAGTTTCTGTTAAAGTTCCTTTGGTTTTACATATTCCAGGCATTACAGACAGTAAGGAACGAAAAGCTTTTAAGCATATTTCAGTTCTTGATTATGTTTCAAATGAAAACAAAACTATGTCTGTAAGTAATATGAACATAAGTGCTTCTACATACGTCCCCAAATATGTCACAAACAAACTTGTTGAATTAGTTGACCTTTTTCCAACATTAGCAGATATTGTTAATATACCTATTCCTCCATTATGTAGATTTTATAAAACAGTATTATGTTCTGAAGGTTTAACGTTTTATCCCTTGATAAAGCATATTGTGAAAGGTTCTGCGTCAGAAGAATTTCCATGGAAGACAGCTGCATTCAGCCAATACCCAAGACCATCGATAAGTCCTAGAAATGATAGTGATCAACCTGATTTAGAGGATATTAAATATATGGGCTACTCAATCAGAACTGCTCGTTTCCGATATACAGAATGGGTTTCATTTGATTCAAAAAGATTGAAACCTAACCGGACTCAAGTTGTTGCTAGAGAATTATATGACCATAAGGAAGATCCATTTGAAGCAAACGATGTTTCTGACAAGCCTATGTATGAAAATATAAAGAAAGAACTATCCAGGAAAATCAAGAAAGGTTGGCGACATGCCATGCCACCTGGCTTATTTGACAGTCCTGTTAAGAAAAAAGAATATTTGAGCTAAAACAATAAAATAACTTTCCAAAAGTAAGATAGACTTACTTTTGGAAGAACTGATAATATTATCAGTTCCTGATTATCTGTTGAATGGTTTTTATAACTCATTTTGAATTTAGAAATTAAATCTGGGAAGAATTTGCTGAAAAGTAAATTTCAAGATTTTTATGTTTTGATTTTTTTATGTATACCTTTTTTAAAATGCTGATTATTCTTACACATAAAAATTTTTACATTTTTAAGTACATCAAAGCTTACTTTTAATAAAATAATTGGACTGCTAGGATTATGAACTAATTTATTGGAAAAAAAAAGACTGGTTCATATGAAGAATCTGTAGAATCAATTTTGAAATAAAAACAGTTAAAGAAGAGAGAATTTTGCATTTCTTTCATCAGATAAATGCAAAATATCTCTCATTTATTTATAATGTTATAGTTATTAGTTAACTATAAAATGAAAACTTAACTCATTGCTTGAAGATTTGCTTCATATGATTGTGCCATTCTTTTCTAACTGTGTTGTCTGTATGCATGTATATTGTTCTTTAATTTTATGTATTTTTATTGTTAATTCTGATACTTTTTTATATTAAAAGAGCTTAGTTTGTACTTTTGTTGAAATCTTTCTTGATGATCTTTTCTGCTGAAATAAAATATAGTTGATATCTTTAATTAGTTAAAATGCAGAAACATTTTTGCTGAATTTGAAATCAAACCAAAATATGATGTAAATTCCTATTAAAGATAATTTTCCATTTAAGGCATCATAAATGGATCCAAATGATCTAAAAATTACAGCAGCATCAATTAGTTCAAGAATCATACTTCGTACTTAATGAATTATTACACTCTCTTGTAGACTGTTAATAGATGAATATATTGGAATGATGATTACTTGGATAACATATCATTATTTATTCATGTAATGAGATGCATGTATCTAGAATTTAATTGCACTATTTTTGTGTGAATTTTAACTGTCTCTATGAATAAGTTGGCATCATAAAAGTTTATGCGCATAAGGTATGTGTAACTGTGTTTTACTTCACATACATATTTTGTGACATCCATATTATATTGGAATGTAAATTAACACATTGTTATTTATATTTTCTCTTACTTTTCATCCTAATTTCAACAAGGTCATCATACATAAGCTTTATCTGCTTTGCAACTGTAGTGATCCCTTTCTAAGATGATGGTTCCAGATAGTTTTCATCTTCTGGGGAAGTGGCCGTCTCAGAGAAGGAATGTTGATTACTTCTATTTGTGTATGTCTTAAATATTACAGGTCACTTTCAGAATTGGTTATCATGAGAAGATTTACTTGATTTGTGCTGTGTATATTTTCTCACTATACGTATTTTGCATTAAAATATTTGTAATTAATCAAGAAAATTTTCAATTTTAGTAAAAGCTCTCTCTTTGCAACGTTGTTCATCCCATCAACAAAGTCTGATAATTTCATCATTTTCATTTATCTTCTCAATTTAGCCATTTGATTTGCTGGTGGGCTCTTAAGTTATCAATAGTGAAATCATGATTAACTTTTTCAATGCTTAGTTTCTTTATTAAACATAGGCTGTGAGATGACCACTTATGACATAAACATTCTGAGTTGAATTAGTTTAAGTGTTTAGATTTATTGACTGCATCTGAAGTAATCTGAAAATTAAATTACAGAAGTTTGTGCATTTGATACAAAAATATTAAGTGAGTGTCAATGAAACTTTTCATTTTTATTAAACATTTAAATCAAGCATTAAATTGCACTATAACAAAGGAAAAGTTAAAATAATTAAAGGTGTGAACTAGTAATCACAAAAATACAGCAAAGCATTATAAGTTTACAAAAGCATACATGTATATATTAAGACTGTATATATAAATAAATAGTAATAAAGTACATATAAATAAATATGGAATAAAGTTTGTACTTAAGAAAAGAGGTTTAAAGAACAGCTTTGATGAACATCTCAAAACTTTGTATATTTAACCCTCTGATGAAGAATTCAACAAATTGCCAAAAACTGTTTCTGTCAGTTTTGTTTTAGGTATGCAGGCATCATTAGTATCAAATTCCTGTATCAATTAGTAGTACATATTTGTGTGCAAAAGTATGTATAGTTTCATAGCCTGCAGAGAAGGAATTTTCAGAATTCATATGAGAGGTATTTTTAAAACTGCCATATGAATTTATATCACTAAAAGAGGTAATGAAATTTGAGTAAAAGAGGTAATGAAATTTGAGTCTGCGATAATAATTGAAGCCTTACTGATGAATATTTCAAATGATTTAAGATGCTTATATCCCAAGATTTCTTTAAGAGGAGAAGGAAAACTTTTATCAAAATAGATAAAGCATGAAGATTATCAAGCATTTTAATTTATTAAAAAAAATAATTTTAAACAAGGAATTGCAGTGTGCACATATTTAATTTTTTCATTCATTTTTATTTAGCATCATTTATATCTTTTAAATGTTTCAGGTAAATTGTTTGGAAATTTGGACCATTTTTTAAAATTCATTTTCGAATTTAAAAATTTGTTAATTCATGACAATTTTATAGGGTTAAAAAATGATGGTTTTTAATTCTATGTAAGCCTGAATAAGTACTTCTCTCCTGCATTTTTCTATTTATAAAACTGCAATGGATTATCTAAGATTGCTTTGCCTTTTTAAAAAGGATTAGGCTCTGTTAAGATGTAATTTAGAAAGGTGAAGTAATAAATATGTTGTGTTTTTCATTTTCATGCATATGCTATTAATGCTTTGCAGTAACAGTGCCTGTAAGGTTGTGCTTTATTTGTTCCTATTTTCTGCTTAATATTTTATTTCACTTTGTTTTAGTTTTATTTATTTATTTATTAGATGTAAAAATTTTATATAGTATGGATAATTATGCAGTAGTAATTTCATTCAATTAATTGTGCACATTGCTATATTTAAATGCATTCATACTCAGGTGTATATGTGCAGTTTGTCAGTTTATTACAGACAGATTTTCAAATGGGATAAAATGTTATGAAATACACTTAAAAAATGCTGAAGTGCATGAGGAATTTTATAAATATCAGTGTTTTGAGACTATTCATTTTTTATGTTAACGTATATGTTACTTTTATAAATAATACTGTTATAAAGAGTTAAGTTTTTATTCGATACAATATTTTCAGTTAAATAAATTTTAGTTACTATATTGTATGTTTGTTGATGATTCTCTCTCTCATTCAGTATTTATTTTCAAAATTTATTCACAATAACTTTTCAAAAGTATAAAAGATATGCTGCTATATTTTTATGACTGCTGTATGCACTGTTTATCAAGTAATTTAGAATCTTACTCAGATCAGACTATGCCATATTCTGTACATGCAAGAATTTCTAAATAATATAATGCAGAAAGTAATTTTATTCCATTATGTGACATTTGTTTCTTTGTGTTTAATTCCTACAAAACAAGTTGTTAAATTTCTACAAACCAACTGATGTCAAATGATTAAATGCTTAGTATAGTTGATTAATGCTGTTTCGAACTATAGCGCACTGAAACTAATTTAATACATATTACTATTAAAACTTACGTCTTATATATATATTCCACTTAAATTATTCATTTTTTTAATTATTAAAATTTATATATAAGTATCAATTATTAAATTTTTCAAGATTAACATGATTTATCATAATTTTTGTATCAGTTTTTCAAAAAATCTAAAGAAGAAAAATGTTTTAGATGGATGTGTGTGAGTAGTCTGTAGACATATAAATATTGAATGGTAAAGAGTGTGGTAGCCAACAGAGTCTGAGGTTTGGATTTTGGTTTGTTTCCAGCAAGCTGACAATAGAGATTTTTATTTTGGCATTTGAAATTTTAAATCGGAGAAAGACTTCCGAAATAGCAAAAGCATGGCAGTTTAGTTCACATACTTTGTGTGACTGGCTTCAATTTATTTTTATTTTATTTTTTTTTAATACACAGTCCATTAATCTATACAAGGCCAGATGTGGTGGTCTCTTTATTATAGAGGCACATGATAGGTGGGCCGCCATCGCCTCCTATGAAGGGACGAACAGTTACAACCATGCCTTCTCTGGGATTCGAACCCAGACCCTTCAGTATCGCAGTCAGGCTTCCCTAACCACTATACCATCTGGGCAGCTGGCTTCAATTTATTAATGAGACCATTTTGGATTATATTTTTAATACTTCTGAGAAAATAGGGGGTAAAGATAATGTGGCTGAAATTGGCGAATCTAAGTTCAGAAGAAGAAAGTATCACCGAGGGTATCCTGTGGGGGGGGGCAGTGAACGTTTGGAGGTGTAAAACTGCAAATATTTGCGGTTTTACAGCTGAGGATGGTGGTTTGGTAAAACCATCGAAACTAGTCCTGTGAAAATTTTGAAAATATAACGCTGATTTTTGTTGTTTGACTTCTGAATTAGTATTTATTCAGCGTGTTATTGTGTCTTAATTATTAAAGTTAATTTATTAATTTTTCATTTAATATGTTTTCCTTTTTCAAACATAAATTTTATTTCTAACTTTCACAAACTGATGTTTATTTCTACAAAAGTGAATTTACATTTTCGTTTTACTTTTTATTTTGCAAAAGTTTATTATTATTATTATTATTATTATTATTATTATTATTATTATTATTATTATTATTTTTTCAAATTTATTCCTTTCCGTATTTTTGCTTTAATTTTTTTTTTATATTTAACTTTCTTTTTGGTTTTATAAAAGTAATATTTATTTTTGCGAATTTAAATTTTCCTTTTCGCTTTTTATTTAAAAAAAGTTGTTACTACATTTTAAACTTTTTTTTTCATTTTTTTCCCTTATGTGTTTTACTCCCAAAAGTCAATTTTAATTTTTTTTTTCCTTTAAAATTTTTTGTTACATTTTTATTTCCAAGACTCTAAACAAATCTTGTAAGGAGCAATAAATTTTTATGGTATGAAGTCCACTCAAACCAATGCATGGGGCATTTCTACCCAGTTAAGTTTAGATACGTACCAATAGTACTTCATTTCTTCTTATATTACTCTACAGACATTTATACGTATATATTCAGAACACTCCGTTTTATTCAGTAAGATTCATTTATACTACTAACTCAAATTTTGATCAATCTTTGAAATATTTTACAAAAATATCTTGTATTTTCTTGCGCACATCCTACTTAAATCACTAAACATATACTGATCCTTGATTTTTCCTTCATGTGAAAAAGTCACTCGGATTATTAATATGATTCCACTAGTTACTGCAGAACTTTATAAACACTACTATATTTGAACTTATCACAGCCTTACTCTCTTAACAAGGTACAGAAGACTGAATTATATTTTAACTACAGAGAAGAATATCTACATTGTATTATTTTAAATTTGAATTATAGTTACATTTTGTGAAGGGGAACTTAAAGTCTATAATACACATGGAATTAATATTCAGCAATGGAAATGAAACTTTATCGCCTTTTTCCCAACTTGGAAAATTTTTAACGTATTCATTGTAACTTAACTGAAAATGCCCATTTTTCATATTGTCAATAATTTATTTAGCACTGAACTCTTACACCCTTTTGAGAACGAATTTTCTCTTTTAACCGGCTGTACTCTTAAGAAAAGATGCAGTATGGAATGCTTAGAACCACTTGGTGCCCCAGTTCCTCATTTCCCCACGCATTGATCAAAATATACATGTACTTTAAAAATCAGTTAAACAAATTCAAATGCGAGTATTTAAACAGGAATACTTCACAAATTAGATAAAAGATAGGTACACAATGAACTTAAGTGATAAACACAGAAAAGCATGTAAGGACCAAGAAACAAAAATGTATTTGCGCAGAACTTAAGATAAAGTTGCTCTATTTTTGCACATGGATTGCATTTTTCATTTCACATTAAGCAAATATTCAAGATAATTCCTGTATAACTATGGATTTTATTCACACTTGTTAGTAATGTAATTTATTGGAACAGTGACAGACATATAGGAGAAGTATGCCATATCCATGGAAAAAAAATTTCCCACGCCAGACTGTAATAGTGAAATATAAAATGGAATAAGAAAAGACCATATTTCCAACAAAATTAGTATCTGAGTATGCAAAACATGAACGAGAAATGAATATTTTTTTCTGAAAAATATTCCGAATGTGATAAGTCAGGACTAGTTTCATGAGCATACGCTCATTACATTTGATTTAACAAAATTACAAAGAAGTTAGGAGTTAAGTGAATATTTCCTGAAATACTGTACATTTCATTTCGGAAAGCTTACATGAGTATCTTCATTTTGAACCTTGTAATGTTCCTTTTCCTGCATCCAAAATATATGTTAAGTATAAAATTTTCAGTTTTGACGGAAGTTATATACGGATGGCTGTGACGTGCTCGTGTTTTCATAAACCGTTTTTGTGAAGTACCTTATTGATAATTTTTTCAACACTTTTAGTAGTACTGACACTGCAAGTCATTGAATTTTCAAATATTTTCCTATTTATCGTTTACAACGCCTCGTAAAGCCTTGGGAACAAAATTTTACTAAATAGTTACAACAACACTATCACGCTAAACCAGAAATTAAGCAAAGAAACAGAATTTTTATCTTTATTCTATAGGGATTGATTAATTTTCTCTAATATTGACATATTTGTATGCAGATAATGGAGACTTTTAACCCAGCTCATACACACTTTGAATATTTTCTCTTAAGTCATCAAGAATCACTGACTTGCACTGTCATAGATTTTTCTCATGAAGTCTATTTATTTCTTAGAAGAAGTTTACATACTAATTTCATTAGAAACTATCTCGCATTCATAAGAAACATCTGCGCTTTGATTTAAATTACTAGGAAACTAAGAATCATTGTTTTGTAAATATGTTTCTCTTTGACTCAAAAGTTTCTTCTTTATCATATTTGAAATGAACAATTAACTCTACATAACTAATATATTGTATTGATGAACCAGAGTTATATCTTAACTTACTGTGTTGCATTTCAAGCGAATGTGTTCATTGCAACTTTTAATAAAATCTTAAAGGCTGAAATGAGTTTTTCATTACCAAATTTGTACTTTCTAACTTCATTATACTGAAACGAAAACATTCATAACTTATTGCGAAGAAATTTAATTTAATTTTAAAAAATTATTTATTTTTTTACATGTTATACGTTTTGATTAATTTTCAAAGCAGAGTATTATCTTTGAATATTACTAATTTTCGCTCCTTCAATACATTTCGTACATGACCAAAAAACTCAGTTTAAAAATGATTTTTACTTAAAACCTTGTATTGCATAGCTGAACCGGGGCCATGCTTTCATTTTTATTACATATCATAGGAATATTTTTAAAAAGGCATATTTTTTCCTTCTCTTAGCACAATTTTAAACAGAATTTTACTATTACAGAGACTTCTTTAGTAAAATCTCAAGGGTTAAATTGAACGTTTCATTACTAATGTTGAAGATTCTGGAGATATCCTACTTAAAAGTTCATAATCGATTAGCAAAATAATTTATATATGTACTTCGTTGTGCTCTTGGTTAATTTTTAAATCGTTGCTCAACTATAACACTTGATTTCTAGTGAGGTATCGAAATGATTACTTACTTTCCGCTTTTTCCAAAGAATTTCGTAGACACATATGTTCAGTATAGAAAATTTTCCTAACTGAAAAGTATTATTACCAAAATAGAAAACATGCAAAATTTCACTAAAAATTTATACATTTGTTTTTTTACAAACATATACACGAGTACCCACATTTAATTACTTAAGCCCCGTTCACAAGAGCAGATTCGACCGGTAGCGAAAACCGGTTCTTCCAACGTGTCCCGTTCACATGGGACAAGCATTAACTGCCTCGCCGAATTGGAGGTAGAACTTGGTTGAATGTTTCTTACCTCTCGGGAGCAGGGCAAATGGGGAGATTTCCCGTACTATACTGCGCGGTTCACTTAATTTTAGTTACTGCTCGCTGGACTGTCAGCGAAACAATCGCGCTGATAGATGTCTGGGGATGTGATAGCATCCCCCCCCCAAAAACAAAATTAGACAGAACTGTACAAGATACGGAAATTATAGGCAAATACAGACAAGGTTTATCTGATGCTAGGTAATCCAAAAATATCGTTCAAATTAAAACTAAAGTTAAAACAAGTGCATATCGGCTTCAACGCGAAAAGGGACTCGGGGTACCTTTTGAATGATTTTTTTTTTAAATTTAAGCATTTTCATCTACTTAATAATTATGAATCATCCATTTAATAATTATGAATATTATTAAATGGATTTTGTGAAACAAAATAATTTTAAGCTGAAAAAAAAGTTTTTGCTAGCATTTTTTTTAATTTAAATTTTTGAAAGAAAAATTTTACGATTAAAAT